ATGTACTCACTGCCTACGTAACTGTAATCCCTCTCTACATCACCTTGACAATAAAATAAAAACAAAATAAACCCCCAAAGCAAAGAAGGGTAGAGGTCTGGATCAAGTTGTAGATTGCTTGCCTAGCAAACATGAAGTCCTTAGTTGAAACCCCAGTACAGCAAGAATAAAAGGTTGAGGATAGCATTATGTGAATTGAAATAATGTTTAAGGATGTGTAAATAGCAATAGAAAATCAATTAAGATAATTACTAACATACAAGTTCATTTATCAGTACCTTGAAGAAAGTTAGAACTGTAACATCATCAGAGCATTTGACACAGTGCTAATGTTTATTACAGTTTGAGAATGAGTAAATAGATAAGAAAACTGAAGACAGTATTTTCAAATTTGGGGCTTGTTTACTGGCAGCAAATACAGTGACCTTCCAAAGGTTTTGAGATAAAAAGCAGCAGTAAGAAAGAAATCATAGGTGAAAGATTTATATGTTATGAAGAGACACCAGAAGACAAACCAGGGCTGCAATGTATCTCAGTGGCAATGGCTTGCCTAGCAAGTGCAGTGTCTTAGGTTGGATTCCCCGTACCAAAAAAGAAAAGACAAAGAAAACAAAGAAAGAAAAGAGAGAAGTAATAAGGAGAATTCTAAGAGGGTACCTACAAGGAAATGAAGATGCCATGACAGTTCACTGTTTTTGTTAGCTGCAAGTTTGTGTAATAAATAGTTTTGGTATAATCTCTACAGGAATTAACTATGACATTTAAGGATGATTGTATAAGTGGATGTGTTAGCTAATATATCTATCTCTGAATTAGTGAACTATATCCACAGGTAAGCTCTGAATATTTCCTTGTTTAGATCAGTTGGTTTTATTTTGCTTTTCAGAAGATAATGCTTCTAATATTATATCTTTTCATCTAGTAACATCTTTCAGGAGATGATCCAGGGAGAAATGAAGAAATGATTTCAATAAGAACCACGTAAATCCCAGTACTTGTGGCTTGTGCCTGTAATCCTTGTTACTCGGGAGGCTGAGATCTTGGGGTGGCCGTTGGAAGGCAGTCTGAGCAGAAAACTACCTGTGAGATTCTTATCTCAAATTAACCAATCTAAAAATGGTAGTGGAGCTGTGGCTCAAAGTTGTGGAGCTCCAGCCTTGAGCAAAAGAGTTCAGGTATAACACCCTGAGTTAAAGCTCCAGAAGTGGAAGGAAGGAAGGAAGATAGGAAGAAATAAAGAAATGAAACAGAAAAGAAAAGAATAAGAAAGATAAGACAAGGGCACACATACGAGTAAGGGAACTTAGTTGAAGCCTACATTCTAGAACATTGTGACAGTATGATTTTTACAGTTGTTGTCCACTTCAATTTAAGATCCAATTTAAAATGACTCATCTTGAAACAAGATAGAGATTTTTTTGAGTAATACAAAATTAATGGTAATAGTCTAGAAGCCTGGCTCAAGTGTTAAATCACTTGTTTAGTAAGTGCAAGGCCATGTGTTCCTATCCTAAATCTCAACAATTCACTTTCTCTAGACTCTTCTATTGATGACTACTGTATATCAAAGAAGCTACTTTCCAAGTATTTTTCAAGCCTATACTCTCTGATCATCCTTTTCAGAAGTACTATATGTGACATATGTTTGAAAACAGCCTGAAGGCTGGGGGATGGCTTAGGGAAAGTGCTTATCTAGCATGCTTAAGGCTCTGAGATTGATTCGTGGCATTGCTAAGAAGAGAAAAAGGGAAAGGGGAGAAATAGAGTATGCTTTAAAAAAATGTAAGCTCTGAAGCAGAATGTTCTCTGAGGTTTTTTAAAATTTTAATTATTTTAATTTAAATTTATTGTAAAAGTGATGAACAGGAGTTACAGTTACATAGGAAAGGTAATGAGTACATTATTTATTTTTATTTATTTATTCATTTATTGTTTGGGTCCTGTTGTGGGCCCTGAACTCTGGGCCTGGGTGCTGTCCCTCAGGTCTTCAGCTAAGGATAGCGCTCAACCATTTGATGCACAGCACTACTTCCGGCTATTTTCTTTTTGTTTATGTGGTCCTGAGCAATCGAACCCAGGGCCTCATGCATGCAAGGCAAGTGCTCTACCACTGAGCCACCTTCCCAGTCCCCTTGAGTACTTTTTTTTAAACCAGTTACCCCCTCCCTTATTTTCCCCTGCTTATAACTACTCACTTCCCATCCCACCCTCCCAGTTGGAAAGTTCATCTCCAACATAGTGCCTAGTGACTACATTGTTGCATTAGTTCTTCCTTTGTCCTGCTGTTTCTATGATTCCCTTTCCCTTCCAAAAATTAGATAAGCAACATCCCTGGCCATAAAAGAAATGCAAATCGAAACCACACTGAGATTCCACCTTACCCAGTCAGAATGTCCTGAGTTTCTTTCTTTCTTTTCCTTTTTTTTTTTTTCTTTTGGGTCCGGTCGTGGGGCCTGAACTCTGGTCCTGGGCACTGTCCCTCAGCTCTTCAGCTCAAGGCTAGTGCTCTACCACTTGAGCCACAGCACCACTTTTGGCTTTTTTCTTTTTGCTTATGTGGTGCTGAGGAATTGGACCCAGGGCTTCAGGAATGCAAGGCAAGCGCTCTAAAATTGAGCCACCTTCTAGCCCATGTCCTGAGTTTCAATACCAAAGTTTTCCTTTTTGGAAAGTAAAAGCTCCATTCCTCAATCTCCTAAAGAATGGCCTTCTCCTAACGCCTTCCTGAATCTCTTCACCATAAACTATTACCTAAATTTTGGCTCTCTAGTGAAGAGATTATAACTTTTCTATGGAATTGTTCTTGCCCTATCTTGTGTTGTTTTTTTTTTCTTCTTTTATATTCTACAATTCTCATCTACAGAAGTGATTTTAATTTCTTCATCAGTAATGTTATATGTAATCATAATGTACTTGCTCAAGAGGAGAGCATTGGATGAGGCACCTAAATGCCTTCATATTTTTTTCATATAAAAGAAACAAGGGAAAACACTGAACATGTATTTTAATATGCATTTTTATCATCTTTAAATAATTGTACAAAGGAGTTTCCACTCAGCAAAGCAGTTTTTGAACACAATGCATATTGATCAGTGTCAGCCTCCCTTCAATGTCCTCACCCTGCCCTCTCAACAGGCCACCTTCCCTCACATTGCACAAGTTTGAAGGATTTGTTTTGACACTTGTGACTGTATTCTCCCCTATCCTCTCTTCATTCATCTACCCACCCTTCCATTGAGCCCATCTTACCCCTTTCAAATACAGGTTTCCTGCTTGAACTGTGAGTTAGACTTTCTAAGGAATTACACAGTTTGAGTTTTCTCCAATCTCAGTAAGCAATCATTGTGAGTCTAATATGCACCAGTATTTACAAGTATTTTCCCATGTTTTTGTATTTAATCTGCCCAACAATCCTTCTATTTATTATTTCCTCATTTTATAGTCAAAGAAACTAAGATTGAGAAAGATTAAACTCAGAAAAAAAATTCTCCCTCCAAGAAAGGAAACAAGCTACTATGCATATCAGTAATAACAAAATCAAGACTGAACATGGGGGCTCACACACATAATGATAGCGAGAGAGAATTGCAGTCCAAGCCTGGCTGGAATGAAATTGTTAAGCCCCTCTCTGAAAGATACCTAAAGTAAAAAGGACTGGGAATATGATTCAAGCAGTAGTTTACCTAGAAGTACAAGGCTCTGAGTTCAATGCCCCAAGTACTAGTAATAAAATAGTAAATTACAAGAGCAATGCAGATATTAGGCACAAACAAGTTCAAACGAAATATATATATATACATGTATACACACACACACACACACACACATATATATATATATATATATATATTACTTTTCATGTGGATGGCTTAGTACATTTTTACAGATGAGGCTGTTCTTAGGCTGGAGCTCCAAGGGCACAGCAAGAAAAAGTGGAAGAGCAATTCAAAAAGCCTTTGGTTTCAGTGTGCCAGACAGTTCTACCTCTTTGTCTAGGCATAGTCGGGCCTTACAATAAGACTTTGGGAGTTTGTATTTACATGATGACAAAATAAAAGAATTACAAACAGAAATTTTAATTATCAAAGTGAATAACAAGCTTGTACTGATTGGGTACATATATTGCTTACTACTAAAGTATGATATTAAGAGATTGTATGAAAACCTTGTATATCTGATCCATTGATTTAGAGCTTATATAAGTACAAATTATTCTAATAGCAGAACTAAAGAAAAAGCCTAAAAAATGAACTATATAACTCTTACCAAAAAAAAAATCCCATGAGTATTAAGTGACCAAAGCAAGAAAGAGTAAGGCTTGTATTTTTCTAACTTTTGAACCAGCTCACGATGCCATTATACAACAAGTTCAAGATAAGGACCATTTGTGTTCAATCAAAAAAATTTTAAAGAATGAAAGAGAACTTATCTGAAGCATATTAAGTTCCCAAGTTCTGAAAGAACTTAAGCATTCAATGTTATTTGAAAGCTGAAATAAACAAGTACTAATCACAGAAGATAAAACTTTTCCAACTGAACCTCAGCTATAACCCTCTGTATATCACCTTTACAATAAAATAAAATTAAAAACAAATAAAAACCAAGCCCTTAATTCACTACCACTTCTTGCCTCTCCCTGAACAGCTTTTCTGTAAGGAGATCCTGAGGTCACATTTGATAGTAACAAGGATAACCACTCACTACTATGAGCTTGACTATCCACACAGAGTATGCTAAGGATGTTTAGCATAATCCCTACTGCTACTTCATAACTACACTTTTAGAATGAATAAGGAAGTTCACCTAGACATTTTAGTGTATTTTACCATATCAAATTTGTGCAAATAGTTTGGTCTTGATTCAAGTTCCTAAACTAATAGGCAGATATATAAATACCCTCCTTGCATTTCCATCTAATTGTAGCCTTGGCAGAAATGATGTTCAGTCTGAGCGGCATTCTATGCCTAGCTCTGCATCTCTTGTCAGAGGTAAAATGCTCAATGGTAAAGTTACCTGACAATGCATATGAAGGCATTGTCATTGCAATTAACCCCTATGTAACAGAAGATGAAAAACTCATTCAGAACATTCAGGTAAGGGAAAACTTTTATTACTTATGTATTTTTATTTTGAGAACTATTTCCACATATAAATACTCAGACGATTACAACTTCCCAAAGTTGTTTGGACAGTATTCATCATTTGTGTAAAACTGATCCAAACTGCCAGTATTCAATCTGTTTCATTTTATGATTTAATTATTCATTAATATTAGTAATCATTCCATTATTGAATAATTAAAAGGCCAAACTCTTACTATTTTTTCCACTAGTTAAGCTAATAGAAAGAAAGCTATTGTCAGGGACCTTAAATAATAATCTATATTAGGCCTGTCATCTTCAGCAGGCTGAGATATGAGGAGCAGAGTCCAAAGCAAGCCAGACCAGGAAATTACATGAGACTCTTTTTTTTTTTTTTTTTTGTCAGTTGTGGGGCTTGATCTCTGGGCCTGGGTGCTGTCCCTCACTTCTTCAGCTCAAGGCGAGCACTCTACCACTTGAGCTACCGTGCCATTTCTGGCTTTCTAGTGGTTTATTGGAGGTAAGTGTCTCACGGTCTTTCCTGCCCCGGCTGGCTTTGAACAATGAACCTCAGATCTCAGCCTCCTAAGAAGCTAGGATTACAGGCCTGAGCCACCAGCACCTGGCTCCATGACACTCTTATTGACAATTAACCATCAGAAAGCCACAGTGGCACTGTGTCTCAAAGTGGTAGAGCATCAGCCTTGAGAACAGCTCAGGGACAGCACCCAGGCCCAAAGTCCCCCAATCCCAACAAAAAAAAACAAACAAATAATGGAAGTGTAGTTCAGGGGCAGAGCACCTGCCTAACAAGTTTATGTCCCTGAGTTCAAACCCACACATTGTCAAAATAAATAACAAATTGGTTTTACGTGTTTCCTTTTACTGATGTAACAGTTGGAAAGCAAAGCCTTGACTGTCACAGGGAAGACATGGGCCAATGGCACAGTGTCTGTGTACAGCACCACTGGAAATGACACATTGTTTGTTGTTACCTGGACAATGCAAAAACCACAAATTATTCTCCAAGATCCCAAAGGAAAAAAAAATGATACCTCAGATTTCAAAGAGCATAAGCAAAATAGTTGAACTTCCCATCTTCGAATACCGGACATTGCAGAGGTAATTCTATTCATTCATTTTCACTTTCTTTTTATTAATTACTACTTTATAAATATAATTTTGTCTTGTGTATTGTCAATATTAAAATTAAAACAGGTCATCTGCCATAAAAATGAATGGAATATGTAATAATTCACATTCATGTTATTTACTACTTTATAAAATCAGCTTTCCAATCGCTATTAGAGCTGGGTGGTGTAGTTTGGAAAAAGAAAGTTATCTAGTATAGGTGAAAACAATTTCTATCCTCGAAATTATACACACTCATATATATATACATATAAATTACATGCATACAACAACACATATATGTACATGTATATGTATACTTGTACATATATGCATATACATATATATGTACATATGTATCTGTACATATATATATATATATATATATATATAAGCTCTTTGTATTTTTAAATCAGTTTATATCCCAAGGAGAGGGTTTGTTTGTTTTGTTGCTCATTCTTAGGCGCTGTCCTTAAGCTCCTTTTTGCTGATGATTGGCACTGTTCTACTTGATCCATGGTATCAATCCTCCCTTTCTTTCTGATTGAATCAGAAATTAAAATTTATTACAGATTTTCCTGCCTTGGCTGGCTTCAAACTGCAATCCTCACATCTCAGTCTCCTCAGGATCTAGGATTACAGGTCTGAACTACTGTCACTGAGTGGAAAGAGTAATATTAACAAGGCTTTGAAGGAGGTTTTGTTTTTGTTTATTTTTTTCCAGACAGGTACTTGGACTTACAGACTTTTAAATAATGAAGCCCAACCACAATTGCTATCGGTCACAATGACCACTGGAGCAAGAAATCCTTCCACACTTCCAGCAATGGCAGCTGCTTACGGGAGTCAAAATACAGCACAACACATAAACCTAGGAATTTTTCATGCCAAAGTCTGGGAAGAGGATATGTGTACATTGGATATTGAGATCGATGTAATGATAATCATTGTGGATATTGCAGATGGACTCTTGGACAATGGTGCAGGTAACTGGCATCTGCTACAAATTACATTGCACTTAAAACATCTCCTAGAGGATCCTATGATGAAGTCATAAGATATATATGCTTGTACAACATATTTCAAAGTTATAATGTTTATAACTGTTTTACTGATTCTGACAAAGCACAATAAAACACTTCTTTCAACCTCTAGACAAATTGTATTTTTCTCATGGAATAGATGAATACAATCCTCTTCCAGTATTCTTAGTGTTAGTGTTTCAACTATAATTTCCCCAACTAGATATATTTTCTTTTTGATACGTTTCTTTTATAAAATAATAGCAGCTAATATCAGTTGAATACATAAAATCACAGTTAGACTGTTTTCGATATGAAAAGATTAGCATGTCGTTGGAATGGAGTCTAATTCCAGTGTTCATATGTGCTGTGCTATCTCCCAAACTGCTGATATCATTACTGTTCCAGGAGAGAAACTGTATCCATTTCTATTTAATGGATAACTAATACATTTGAACCTAAAGATGCTGATACTGTCAAAAATGATGGTATTTACTCCAGATATTTTATGGAATACAATGGAAGTGGTAGATACAGTTTAAAAGTTCTTGTCCAGGCAAGAAATCACACTGCTAGACAGATTTTTATATGACAGAACAAGTCTCTGTACATACCTGGGTATGTTGTAAATGGTAAGTAGCATTAAAATTGAAATTAGTCACATGTTTTTGTACATTGCATGTGGGAAACATGGAAAATTATATTTACTATGGAAGAGTCAAGTATATAATTATGTATTCAACCTCTTTGTTTCCAAATTATATTCATACTATTGGTTTGAGTATAAAATAGGTTGTCACATGCTTTGTTAACATCTACCCTGGTTCATTTCAATTACAATGAAAAATTTTTGACTGAGCATTTGGTATGAGGCCAGCACTATAGAAGATGTTTGCTACAAAGATGAATGACACATAATCATTGTACCAGGCTCATGTCTCACACTAGTCATACCAGCTACTCTCGAAGAAGAGATTGGCAGGATTGCAATTCTGGCCAAGCTGGGACAAAAAATTCCTGAGACCTCCATACAACAAAACGAAGGGAATGATGGGCATCTGTGGGAGCCTCAATCGGAAGCTTGCAGACCCAGGAGTGCCTGGGTAGAAACCTGGATACCATATCCAGAAAAGAACATAAGAAGCCCAGAAGCTCTGACGCATAGCTTAAGTGATACAGTGTCTAGCCAGTAAGAATGGGACCCTGAGTTCAAAAGGATCTTTGCCCTCAAAGAATTTCTAGTCAAGCAGTTAATAAAGATCAAAGATGGTTTTAACATACCATAATATCTCCTCATTCATTTCAAGGTTATACTAAAACAAGAGGGTTGTTTCACTAAAAATTGTCACTTTTCTGTGTCTGCCATTAAGTTTTAACTTACCCCTCTACAAGATGAAGTATCCACATGACAATATGAATAGTTACATAATTACTCTTTTGTGGTAGGTGCAATTGGACTGAACCCACCCAGACCTGAAGTTAAAGAAGACTTGGCAGAAGCTCAACTGGAACTTTTCAGCAGACCAACTTCAGGAGGGTCACTCACTGTATCAGGAGCTCCTCCTGCTGGTGACAATGATCTCTTGTTCAGTCCCAGTAAAATCACAGGTTTGGAGGCTGAGGTTAAAGGAGGTCGTGTTCACCTTTCATGGACTGCCCCTGGCAGTATCCTTGATAAAGGCAAAGGTAGGCTTGGCATTAAGCTTTTACATTTTCTAAGACAATGTCCATTAGCTTTCATTTTCCAATGTCTCATTTATAAATAATGTGTGAGGGGTATGTACCTGAGCCATTATTCATTTGTTTTCAGATATGAAAACTGAAAGACTAAGAGATAGAAATTGGGCCATGTTATATCTATAGCCTAGAAGTCTACCCCATTCTTGCCATGTTCTTTTGTACCAAACTGCTTTTCTGAGTTTGAACCATCCTCAACTTAATTGGGGAGACCTGAATAACTGCTTCCTGTCCCTGGCAAGGAAAATCATTTTTCTAACCATTCTGTACTTGTATAACTTTATTCATTAATCATTGAGTTTCAATCTGCATGAGATTCCTAGAAACTATCCCTATTAAATCAATGACCATAAAAGACACATGACCAGACAAGTCATTTCACAGTACCAAAACATGGAATGCTAATGGCATCTCACTTACTAAATAGAATTTTCAAAGCCATATTTGTAGCGGAGCACTGGTGGCTAATGCCTGTCATCCTAGCTACTCAGGAGGCTGAGATCTTAGGATCGCAGTTCAAATCCAGCCAGGGGAAGAAAGTCTGTGAAATCCCTATCTCCAGTAAACCACCAGAAGACCAGAGTGGTGCTGTAGATCAAGTGGTAAAGCACTAGCTTTGATCTGAAGAGCTGAGGGACAGTGCTCATGCCTAATGTTCAAGCCCCATGACACACACTCACACACACACACACACACACACAAACACACAGAGCCATATTTGTTTGGGCATGCTTGTTTTATTATTTATCTTGGCATGTTTGCTTTTTTAAAAAATAAAAACAGAGGCTTTTATAAGCCAAAAGAAGTATAGAACATCCACCCATACATTTGCTTCAATGTTGAAAACAATAACTATGACTACTTTGGAAATACATCATTTCTCATGACTTTTCAATAGATAGCAGAATCAAATCAAATATTAGTATTGCCACTAAAACACCAAGAAGGAAATCATATAATCAAATATTTAGCTCTAAATTAATTTGGTAAAGGTGGAGCCTTCAGTAGAAGATTGGTCTCTTATGAAATTTGCTTTGTGTTGATTACAGAAAGTAAAAGGAGTGATGTGCTACTTGTAGGCACTGGGGAATTATCATCCAGTACTTTCTTCTGAAGGGCAGGAAGGATAATTGTGGCTGGCAAGCATTAGCCTTAAACATCATAAAACACCTTAAGAGCAGGACAGTGGTGGATCACACCTGCAAGCCTAGCTACTCAGAAAGCTGAGATCTGAGAATCATCATTCAAAACTAGCCCATGCAGGAATGTCCATGAGGCTTTTATCTCCAATTGACTGCCCAAAAGAACAAAAGTAAGAAGTAGAGCTGTGGCCTTAAGTGGTAGAGTGCTAGCCTTGAGCAAACAAGCTCAGTGTCCAGGCCCTGAATTCAAGGTCCAAAGGCCAGCAAATGATAAAGAAAGATATCTCAAAGAGTAAATGAGCATTTCCATAATCTTGAGTGAAGCACTTATATTTTTCCAGTCAAACTTTCCATGCCTGGTAAATATGCAGATTTACGTAGATACCAGTGGCTCAACCTTATAACTGGACCAACTTAGGAAGCTGAGACGTGGAAAATCACATTTTGGGAAGAAGTCTGTGAGGATCCATATCCAGTTAACCAGAAAAAAAGCAATCATGAGACCTTGAGTTTAATCCCCTATTATACCAAGAAGAGAAATACAGATTTAGAATTACCAAAATAATTACATAAGATTCCAATATTTCAAACTTGTCTACTTGTATCATTTGGGGTATCAATTTAACAAGTATATCATTAGCCAACAACTAGCTAAGGAAAAAAAATATAAACAATATCATGAACTGTAGATGGTAGTATAAAAAAGACTATTCTCAAGAACAATAGAATCTCATCAGAATGAAAATTTAAGCCAGAAAAATTTTGAAAACACCATTCCATACAGTGGAAGTTCAAGGAAGAAAATATCAAGGCTGATAAATTACTTGAGCAAGACTTCATGAGAAAGAGATCTTGTCTGGGCCTTGAAGAATAAGATTTCCATATAGAGGGCTGGGAAGACAGTTCAGTGTAGATTGCATGCATGATGCCCTGGGTGAAATTCCTCAATACCACATAAGCAGAAAAAACTGGAAGTGGCGCTGTGGCTCAAGGGGCAGAGTGCTAGCCTTGAGTTGAAGAGCTCAGGGACAGCGCTCAGGAGCAGAGTTCAGTCCCCACAACTGATAAAAAAAAAATTCCATATAGAGATAGAGAAAAAGAAGCCATTGAAGGAGTTGAAATCCAATGACATCATCAAGGTCAAGAAAGGAAAAGTAGCTTGTCATAGTGGCTCTTGCCTCTACTTCCAGCTAATGAAGAGGTAGGAAGACTGCAGGAAGACTACAGCTCAGAGAAAAAGTTAAAATTCCCCATCATAACACAACAAAGGAGCTACACGTGGGGAGGTGAGCCTGCAACCTCAGCTGTTCAGGAAGCAAAGGCAGGAGGATTGTGGTGATGCTCCAAGACTGGTGCAAGGCAAAAGTGAGGTCCTGTCTAAACATGAAGCTAACAGCAAACACAGGCTGGCCGTGTGTCTCAAGTGGTAGAGTGCTTGCCTAGCATATGCAAGACCAAGAACTCAAACCCAAGGCCTGCCAAACATTAAATTTAAGAAGAAAACCTCATAATATTTGAGTTAAACAGGGAGGAAGGAGAGGGAGAGGAAAGGGTGGAGGAGGGAAAGGGAGAAGAAGACTTCCCTCGGTGGAACACAAGGTTGATGTGCAGAATGGTAGAGTATGCCAACAAGGCTATGTATAGAGAAACTACATGTTAATCTTAACTTAGCCAGGCCAGGTGCTGATGGATGACTGCTATAATCCTAGCTAATCAAGAGGAGAGATCTAGGATAGTGACTGATCTGAAGCCAGCACAATCAGGAATGTCCCTAAGACATTCATAAAAGCTCATAAAACTCATAAAAGCTGGAGGTGGGGCTGTGGCTCAAGTGGTAGTACCTTCAGCAAAAAGAAGCTCAGGTCCAGAGTTCAAGCCACAGGAACCGCAGCATTAAAAAATGGCAAAAGTTACTTACCTCATTCTTAAAACTATCATCCTTCCACAAAACATAACAAATAAAGTCTTCATCTCAAAGAAGGGACCTGTTGTTCTACCATCAAATTTGAAACATGAAAAGCTTTTTTGATTAGTATTCATTTCTGTTGTTATATTAGGGATAAGGTTTGTCTTAAGCATGGGAGGCAAGCACTCTACCACTTGAGTCTGCTCTTTTGGATTTGGTGAATTTTTAGACAGTCTTAAACTTCTTGCTTGGACTGGCAGAAGACTGCAATTCTGCTACCTGTACCTTTTGCATAGTATGAATTGCAGGTATGTTCTACCATGTTTGTTAAGATGGGAGTCTTTATGCCCCAGATGGTCTTCTGATCTTCTCTTCCCAAGTATTTGGGATTACATATGGAAGCCACCATACCTAGCTACAGGATATATTTTTTAAATGTGGATGCCAGCCCCAGTCCTTGAATCCAGAGACTCGGCACTGTGTCTGAGCTTCTTTGTTCAAGGCTTGTACCCTATCCCTGGAGTCACGGCTCAACTTCTAGCTTCTGCTGGTTAGTTAGAGATAAGTCTCATAGACTTTCCTGCCTGAGTTTCAAACGAACAAGCTCAGCTCTTAGCCTTATGGATAGCTAGGATCATAAGAATGAGCCACTGGTACCACCTAGAACATCACTCTGTTAGAATTTTAAAAGCAGTCAGGATGAAGCATTTATGTAGACATCCTTCTTCCTTTCTTAACTATTCATAGTTGTAGCTAACATTTCAAACATTCATTCTTAATGTATTTAATTGTGCTAACCACTTCATGTATCATTGTTTATAATTCTCACCAGTGGAGTAGGAGATACTCAATAAATATTTGATAGAACTGAATGACTAAATCTATGTTTTCCAGGTTTGATAAACTTCAGATGAGAAAGTTGAGGTAAAACATTCTATTACTTAGAAAACCAGTAATGGAGATCACCAGTCAAGGTCTGCCCTAGGTTCTGAGCTTAGTACAAACTCCAGCTTTTGGGTCTCCTCCCAGTCCTCTGTTCCTTGATCATCTCACTTCTTCCCCTCTCATATTACTTTCTTTCAGCTCCATAAGAAAGCACACTTGAGCATTCCTGTGCTCCCTGTTCCAAATCAAAAAGCTCATTCAGCTCTGTAAATCTCTCTGTATAAACTAAATTCTGGCAGGGAGGGAGGCTCAGTGCTTCATGGCAGTGAATGAAAATTTTCTGTGATCATATAATACATTTTAAAAACCTGGTATACTTGTTAAGCTAAGAACAATGGTGTAACCAGACAAACGCTGTAACTGGCGTTCTCTAAACTATAGTGAGCATCTGATCAGTGCCCATCAGGCAACGTGCCTGCAGTGAGCCATCCTGTCTTTGTGTCCCAGCTGCCAACTACACCATAAGAAGAAGTAGGTCTTCCCAGGAGCTCCAACATGATTTTGACCGTGCTGCTGATCTGACATCTAAGGAGGCTGGCTCTGAAGAAACATTTGGATTTAGAGCAGAAGGTTTTAAAGTAGAGAATGGCACCAAGATCATCATTGCTATCAAAGGCAACAATGAATCTCATCTCATCTCAGAAGTTAAACTAGCAATTAGGTTCACTGCTCCCCAAGATTCCAGCATCCCTGCTCTGGGCATCAATATTTCTGCCACTAGTTTGGCTATTTGGGCGTTGGTCATGATTTTGTCTGTAATTTAAGCTAGATAATGTATTAGAAAGAAATTATGATTTTATTTGTAATGTAAACTAGAGGATGTATTAGAAAGGAAATTATGATTTTATCTGTAATTTAAACTAGAGAATATATTAGAATGGAAATTCAGTATCATAAATATTTAGTAAGCTCATTTAATTTAGTACAAAAATCAATTTCCTAATCAGTTAATACCAATTAGTTTATTAAATGTATATCAAAATATTTTCTGTCTTTACACAATCTATTACTTCACTTGGTTGATTGTGTTCTTTTTGCCATTGTTCGGTTTGCTTTTTTTTTCTTACTATTCTGAGTATTAAACCCATGCTTGACAAGCACTCTACCACTCTTCAATATTCAACATTAAAGATGTTGACAGAAGGGAACCCTACTGCATTGTTGGTGGGAGCGTAAACTTGTTCAAGCACTTTGGCAAATAGTGTGGAGGTTCCTCAAAAGACTCCACACAGAGCTCCTCTATGACCCAGCAATCCCACTTTTGGGCATTTACTCGAATGATGACAAACAAACCATACCAGAGCTAGCAACACAGCTATGTGTATTGTAGCATTATTTACCATAGCTAAGATATGGAACCAACCCAGATGCCCCTGAGTAGATAATGCATCAAGAAAATGTGGTATATATCCACAATGGAGTTCTATGCTTCCATCTGAAAGAATGGCATTGCCCCATTTGTTAGGAAATGGAAAGACTTGGAAAAATTATATTAAGTGAAGTAACCAGACCCAAGGACACATAGGTCCCATGCTTTCCCTTATTTGCAATAACTAGTATATGCCTGAGACAAACAGAAAACGTCAGATAAGATGATATTAGGTGAAATGAAGGACACAAGTGGATTTTTTTCTTGCTACTCTTTCTAATATATCTATTAAGTGATAGTTTTGCTGCTTTGTATGTCCCTCCCCCACAGTATAACCCCTGTTTTCACTGTATTTAATGTGGGTATGATTGGGGAGGGGAAGGAAAAAAACAAAATGTTTAATTAGAGATACAGGTTGACCCATTGCAACAATGAGATGTAGAAATGCTATGGTGAAAACGAACTTTACAACTTTGGTGGGAGGAGGAGTGGGGCGGTGGGTAGTGTAGGCGTGGTGATGGGAGTGCAGGGATGGTTGGGGAAAAACAGAGGAGGCAGCAACCATGCTTGATAAGAAATGTACTTATTACATTGCTCAGGTAATTGTAACCCCTCTGTATGGTATTTTCACAATAAAAAAACTTATTGAAAAAAAAAATTATGTTTGTTTCTATTTATGGGCTTTTTAAGAAACATTTTCAGAAGATTCCACAAACTCATTTAATATATGAACCAAGTCAAAATTCATACAAGGCATTTGAAAAATCTATATTTATATAGTAATATTATAACATCCCTCAATATATTATAATATCCCACAAAAATTATGAAGTATTCATGTTTACAAAGTGCATATTAAAAAGGGGTATAAAGAAATTTTCAATACAAAATGACTTAATGTGGTAAGAAAAACAAATTTGTTTTTATAATGGAAAGATTCCTCTTCTGTAGAAATAGTTGATTATCACAATAGCATTCTATATTTATGCAATGGCCATCCTTCGATCAAGAGTGTTGTTAGTTTGCCTGAGTGATCAGCCCCCTTCTGCCTGTGTTAGTCCCTGACAGAAAATCACCTAGACATCCAGAAATCTTGCTGTGGCAGACAATGTTTAAGAATATCTGCCTGTTCTCCAGAATTTATGGGTGACTCAGAAAGCAGAGGAGTACCCTGGGAGGGAGGGCATCATCAGGGAAGACAAAGGAGAGTCCGCATCTGAAATGAGAGAGGCAAAGGTTCATTGAAAACACAAGTTAAGAATATATGATGGGGTGGGGTGGTGGCTCAGTGGTAGAGCGCTTGCCTTGCATGCATGAGGCCCTGGGTTCGATTCCTCAGCATCACATAAGCAAAAAGAAAAAGAAACGGAATTGGCGCTGTGGCTCAAGTGGTAGAGAACTAGCCTTGAGCTGAAGAGCTGAGGGACAGTGCCCAGGCCCAGAGTTCAGGCCCCACGACCGGACCCCCACCCAAAAAAATATGTGAAAAGTGTGAAAAGTGAGTAAAGAGGTAAATTTCAGGGGGCATGAAGTCCACAATGACTCCTTTTAATGTAAATCCTGTACCAGGTGTAACAGGTGGGTGAGGTTAATAGGTTCCTCAAAGGAGAGTAATTCCCCCCATAAAGTATAGAGGAGGAGCTAAAAGTAATCCAGAAAGGGATTTGTCAGGTCATGGTCGACAAGATCAGTCAACAGAAGTGGGGGGGGGACATTGTCGGGAAAGAGGTGAAGTTAAGCATTGGTCAGTGGAGGGCTGTGGCTGTTCTCTGTGGTCTGTGCTCTGGATTGGACTGATTGAATGTCTCCTGCTGAGGTGTCTGCAATCTCTACACAGATGGGTCAGACAGTTGAAATCTCTCAGTATTTTCCTGGCTGCTTTCTCTGAGTAGACTGGCTTTTGCAGGCTGGTGCCCCACTGGCCCCTAGGAATTTACCAGAGTGTCATCCTCATTAACTTGATCTTTTCCCAATATTTTTCCAATGTTTTAAGCAGACATGGGAGACATGTGCCTATAACCATCTCTTCCAAGTGCAGTCTCTAACTTGCCTTGGCTAGTATTTGCTATTTAGCCTTTTGGGCCTTTTCATTCTCTCCCATTGTTCACCTGGAATGCTGTCTCTAAAGTCTCCACTGGGGTATGAGGTGTCCATTATCCAGTTTTTTAAGTGTGGCCTTAATGTCTGAGTTACACTGGGAGAAAATCAATAATTCATAATATTTTTGTCTATATAAACTTATCTGCAATTGTTTCATTTCTTAGCATTTGACCAAATAAATATTGAGCTAATTAGAGATTAAGCTACTTTTTAATACCTTTACCTAAGAAGAAGATAGTATTAGCAATGACTTAGAGAAGGCATAGTCCCACTTTAGTGTACAAAAACACAAGACACTGAGACCTTTCTCTAGGTAATTTGGGACATTTGTACAGGTAAACATCTTCAGATTTATAGTGTTACAAGCCTCTTGGTATAGGCCCTTGTTTCAATAGTGTCTTATTTAGACTGTTAACCCTTTAGGGCAATGTGTTTTATAATTTAACTAGTGATTCTAGTGCTGGTGATGCTGAGAAGTATGCTGTTTGTTTGTTTTTGTTGTTTTGCCAGTACAGCGGTTTGAACTCAGAGGTTCATTCTCATTCTGCTTGCTTATTTGCTTGCACAGCTGGATTCCTATCACTTCAGGCTTACATATAGTCCAACTTTATGTTGCTTAATTGGAGATGGCATCTTGAGAACTTTTATGCCCTGGCTCAATCCTCCAGATATCAGTCTTGTGAGGATTATAGCCACCATGAACCTCTACTTCAAATGCGGGTTTATTTTATTCTGAGCATCTCTACTTTAATGGTAGATGGGATGGGGTTTTCTGTCAGAAGAGATATTTAAGTAATTATGAAAGCAAGAGCAAGATAAAGGGAGAAAAGGGATTCTTGCAGATGAGACAACCTGTCTTTTTTTTTTTGCAAGAGAACAATTAAATGCTATCCCAAGAAACTTCATTTGTTTTTAGTAGGGACCCTTTGGTGTAAACATAAAGATTATATAATTAATACAAATTAAAGTAGGCAGACAGCAATCCATTGGGCAGAGAAATAGTAAAAAGGGGACTAAAATTTGTTTATAAAATGATAAGATAGAAATGTGAGGTGTTGAAATGTTTATTAAGCAAAAACACATATCAATATGTACATATTTGTTAAATAGATATTTTGGTATCAAAAGAACACAACAGACCTCAATTCAATAACATATTGTCCTGACAGCATATAACACGAAATATTTTCTGGACATAAATTGGAAATACTGAGTCATGCTTATAGGAGCAAATGCTTATCTTATAAAAAATATGAATTTGTCTTTTAATGCATCAAAACAACAAGAATAACATTTATTTCTACAAAAAGGTGTTGATTCTTTCAAGAATGATGGTGTCTACTCCAGTTATGTTACAGCCTATACAAGAAATGGAAGATATAGCTCAAAAGTGTGGGCTCGTGGAGGAATGCATTCTGTCAGGCAAAGCTTTTGGTATCCAGCAAATAGAGCTGCTGAGTAGTGAATGGTGATTCATAATATATAGAATTCAGTCATAGCTTGAATAGTATTTGCAATTTCATATAACAAAAGCTTCAAATATTTTACAATTTAAAAATATTGTAGCCAGGTATCGCTGGCTCATTCCTATAATCCTAGCTATTCAGAACACTGAGATATGAGGATCATAGTTCCAAGCCAGCCTGGGCAGGAAAGTCCATGAGACTCTTATATCCAATAAATCACTCAGAAAACCAGAAGTGGCACTGTGGCTCAGAGGGTAGAATGCTAGCCTTGAGCTGAAGAGCTCAGGGACAGTGCCTAGGCCCAGAGTTCAAGCCCCAGGACTAACAACAAAATAAAAGTATTGCTTTTTCTATTTTTTCAGTGAAATTTGCAGATCATTACCTTTAGGTTAATCTCAAATTTGGAAAACTACTTGACATCTAGTAAGAATTTAAAACAATTCAATTAGCATTATGTTAGGTGGGACCACCTTAACAATATTACAGTAATACAGCCAGTTTTGGGGCAGGACAAAAGAAGAAAATCTACGTTATGATGTGAAGTACACAGTGGCAGAATTTACCATTCAGAATACATGGCTATAAGACTGAACATTTATGTAGAGGGTCTTTTATGAACTCAAAACAAATAAAAATGATGACAATAAGCATTAAAGATGCAAACTTTGCTACCTTTCCTTTAGTTCTTTTCTCTTGTGATGGTCATTAGCAATTGGAAAATAATGAGAAGTATTCCAGAGGTGATCCCAGGTACTCAGGATTCTGAAATCTGAGGATCCATGTTCAAAGTCAGCCTTGGCAGAAGAGTCTGTAAAACTTT